ATCGTCATCGTCATCCTCGTCATCATCATCATCATCGTCGTCATCATCATCATCGTTATCGTCATCATCGTCATCATCATTATCGTCATCATCATCATCATCATCGTCATCGTCGTCGTCATCATCATCGTCATAGTCATCATCATTATCATCATCATCGTCATCGTCATCGTCATCGTCATCATCGTCATCATTGTCATCATCGTCATCATCATCGTCATCATCATCATCATCGTCATCATCGTCATCATCGTCATCATCCCATCATCATCATTATCATCATTATCGTCATCATCGTCATCATCATCATCATCATCATCATTATTATCATTATCATCATCATCATCGCCGTCATCATCATCATCATCATCATCATCGTCATTGTCATCATCGTCATCGTCATCGTCATCTTCATCATCATCATCATCATCATCATCATCATCATCGTCATCATTGTCATCGTCATCGTCATCATCATCATCATTATCCTCTTCATCATCATCGTCATCGTCATCGTCATCGTCATCATCATCGTCATCATCATCATCAACATCATCGTCATCATCATCATCATCATTTTAAATGCGCCTAATCAAACTATCCATAAGAAATAATCTAATTTTAAGTTATTCAAAAATGACTAATGCAAACATTATGTGAATATACACTCTACCTAACTTTCCTTAAAGAATTAATAAAAGATCATAAGTTATATTGTAAAATTTGTATAAGTAAATATTTACTGTTATCAAAATATATAGTCTTCTTAATTAATCGATGCATGTTTATGTGTTTGGTGTGTGTGTGTTGTGTGTATGATCAACGAGATTTACACTCTGACAAAAATAAGGTATATTCAGATTTATGTCTATTTTAAAGCATCGTCGGTACTTTACCTACTGGAAATAGACACTTATATATGGATTAAACTAGTGGAATTTAAAAAATATAAAATTAATTAATAAAAAATTATATTTTTGAAATTAAATTCATTTAATTGGATAAGTTTCAAAAATATAATTTTTATTAATTAATTGTCTTTTTTAAATTCCACTAACTTTGGTCTATATAAGCGTCCTTTTCTAGTAGGTAAAGTATAGACAATACTTTAATATAGTCATAAACCTGAATATATCTTACTAATGTTAGAGTGTAAATCTCTTTTGTTGAATGCACACCACACGCATAGAGATGTATTGGTTGTATACATGGTCTATATATTTTTATACTCAGTCAATTTTTACATGTATAAGTTTTACAACGGTAACAAAAGTACAATCCATTTTTGAAACGGAAACATCTGCTTCTTTTATAGTATAAAAGAAAGACAATGCATCATAAACAACTCAACAACCTCCATTTTTACAATGTCTCAAACATCCAAAGCAAAAAAAATAGTCTTACAATTGTCATTGTGGTTCTCCAGCTACGTTGAGAACATCACACACCGATACAAGTTCAGGACACAATTCTTTACTTATGCAGTTGGCATATGCTTTTTTTTAGGTGGCCTGAAAATGAATCATCAATTAGTAGCCCATCAAATTTTCAAGGCGTTGTCAAATTCAAATTATTAACAAAGCTACGGAAATCCGAAGAAAATATAAATATGCTAATTACTTTCTTAAAGAGTACGAAGAGTAGCGGAATCACTTGAAAGTGTTGCTACAAGATGCTGAAAGATATAGATATCAACTAAAGGTTGATTTTGGCAGAAGAAAAAAGAAAAACGCCTAAAACTGTATTGTGTGATTTATTTTTGGTGTTTACTTTTTGAAAATGTGTAATAAGAATGTAGATTGAATCAATAAAAATATTTCTCTCTATTTATTGAATTCTTATATTTTTCAAATTTTGATCGATCATGTTATAAATCAATTGAGATAACAATCTATAATGCTAAACATACAAACCACTAAAACATGTTAAGCAAAAATCACATACTATAAATATATAGATTCATAAAACGCCTTCATAATAAATTATGTTAAATTGTTTCTTAAAATCATCATTAACCATGCACATTTATAATCTTTCATATGTACAATTTTTTCCACAAAACAACAAATACTTCAAAATCATAAAACCACTTTAATTTTCTCCACAGAACAGCAAAACAACAAACATCATTGTTCTTAAGATGTCAAATACCACAAAACCATTTCAATTGTTGTTTTTTTGGTCACCATTAAGTTTCATAATGATACTCATGACATCCACTTCAACGGTGTCATCTTTTTTTGTTCTTCCTTCTTTTCTTTTGCCACTTCATCAACATCATCAACTGTCATTGGATCTGCCACTTTAACATTTGTTATTTTATCAATAACATCTGCTGCCACTACACCATTTGTCACTTCATCAATACCATCAGCTGTCACTTCACCAATTGCAACATCATCAGTTGCAACTTCATCAACAACATCAATTGTTACTAGATCAACTGCATCTGCCACATCATTAACAACTGTCACTTGATGGATCAACTGCACCTACCACTTCATCAACTTCACCTGCCACTTCATCAACAACATTAACACCTGTAACTTCATCAACAACTGTTATTGGCTCAACTGCACCTGTCACTTCACTACTTGTCACTTAAGCAACAACATCAACACTTGTCACTTCATGAACTTCACATACCATTTCATCAACAACATCATCAACTGCCACACCATCACCTGCCACTTTATCAACTGCCACAACATCAACTGATGCTTCATCTACTTTATTCGTAAACTATTCATTAATTGTAGCAAAGTCTTCATCAACTGTGACAAAGTCTTCATTAGTTGTTGTAATGTTCACATGTACTATTTTACTTTGACAACAAATAGAGGAATAAATTACTAACACTATAATAAATATATACATTAATTTACCTTTTTCTTGTTTTTTTGTTTTTTTTCCGTCAATTCTCCTCAACTTTTCTTCCCGTACACATGGAACAACTTCAATCATTGATTGCTCAATGGATAAGATATGATCTCTATTCTTTTTTAAATTCTCATCATTGAAGTACTCGGTACATTTTTCTGTCTACTAGAAACAAAACTCACATAATGTACATTGTAATCACCCAAATATTCATCACCTTTAGTGAGGACGGTCACACCTTTTGATTGGGACTTCAATACATCGATGACTACGTGCTTCACTTCATCCGTATATGGCTTAAAAAATTTCAAGTAATTTTGTTCCTTCTCATAGACAATAGGGATGAGGTATGGGTGCACAATCTAAAAAACATATAAATATTACACAATATTTACTAATATATAATTATTGTTAATAATGACAAATAAATGCATATATTCATACTTCTCCCCCCTTATACTTGAATGGATCACCTTCAACTAAATCATCGTTCTTTGATGTGTACCATCTTAGTATACGGAGAATGGACAGTGGAGTATCCAAGGACTTCCACTCATATTTTCAAAAACATGGAAAATTTCATATATCCTAACCTGAAATCCGTATAAAGAACAAATAAATAAATAAATAGAGACTATGAAGAACTACACAAATAAATAAGAGTATATCATAAATCGATAAAATAGTTGATAATGCTTACCAGAAATGCCTAGGAAAAATTGTACAGAGCATAATATGCATTCTTCTTTTTATCATACATTTTCCTTTGCTTTCTCAAATTAATTTGATTCTTCAAATAGGTCAATGTTAAATCAAAGGACTCCTTTCCCATGGATAACTTTCAGAGAAATTCAAAACATTTTCCATCTTAATATGGTTTGAATCACAATCTTAGACCGATCATGGGCAAGCAATATCGAGTGGATGTACCAAACTAAATAACACTTCAATTTTTTATCCTTATTTAATTTGCTACTACATATTAACCTTAGCAACTTTGCACCAGTGATATTTTAGTTCCTTGTCACCTTGAAATGAAAATTCTCACCTCTTTTAAGAATTTTGTTCAATTTTGATTCACGGGAGTATGCTGAACAATTCAGACCCGTTATCAATGCAAATTTTTGTAAGCCAAAATATGCAGGCTTATCGTTTACACAAAACAACATTTCATGCAACTCTTGGTCACTTGTGACACGACGCCACAACATGATGTCACTTTTTCCATTGAACTTATAATAATCTGAAATGTGCCTCAAATGTCAAAAGTAGGTACCCTTAAATTCATTATAATGTTTTTATCGAATTGGAATTTTTCGAAACTCATGATAAATTCTCATCCTTGATCTTACAAAGATCTTTTCTGGAAGCTGTCTTAATTCATCTAACCATGTCGCTAGGTCATACAACTCGCCTAAGATATTTTTCGCACAAATTGACAAGGATAGAGGATCATCCTCATCTCGATTAGTGTCTCTACTCCTCTCCTCACTATAACTTTCTCCTTCACTACTCTCAACATTATCAGTAGCAACATCAACACTATTGTTTTGGTAGTTATCAATCTCTGCCATTGTTTTAGAAATCGAATAAGACTGGGATTCTTCGACTACAATTTTTTTCTGTTTACAAATTTTCAAGACTTCTTCAATCTTACGTTTAATACTTCTTAGAGCAACAGAAGTAGATGATTTACTACTTTCACCTCTAGTTTTAGTCATTCTTTATAATCTACAAGCAAAATATATTTATCGACCACTAGTTTTTTAAGATAAGTAGAGTAAATCTGCATGGAAAATAAATAACAAATTCAACATAAATCAACAATGTAAATGAGAGAAAACGCCACTAAAGTCGATCAAAGTTTAGTAAAAAATTCAAATTCAATAGGCGAGATAAACATAACTTTTTTTTAAAAAAAAAGCAACCAAATAGAACAAAGAGTCATTAAATCATTACACTACTATAACCAAATAAAAAACCAAATATGGCTAAAAATTAACGAAAGATACCATTAAAGAAGAATCAACTTACCAAATATGAAAGCTTTGAACTTGGAGTGAAAAAAACAGATGACGATTTGTGGAAGATGATAAGCGAGAACCGTGATTTGAGAAAAATGATAAGTGAGAAGCATTTGAATCATTTATTTAAGTTAATGGGAGGAAGACAAATATATGGGGAAGATTAGTGTATGATTATACGAAAAGAGAGGTGTATGATGAAATGAAAAACGGGATGAGACGTTGCACTTGGAGAAGAAGAACCGTCGCCTCAATTGTAGTGAAGTAATAATATTTTATCAGAATATAATATTTTGAAAAATGTATTTGCATTATAATATATTTTGTAGTGTAATATTATTTCCCCAAGTTTTAATAACAACAAATAAGTCCTTGACCTCACATTCACAAATATACCCAAAGTTTTTCAAAAGTCAAACAGCCACATGACCCCCAATTTTTTTATTTTTAAAAGTTGAACTCTAAAAAATAATGCAAAAACAAAATGAGTGAGTAAGATTTTGAGCTTCCGCACTGTGTGGTATTTTGTAAGTTGGGGTTAAATTTGTTGGTTCTCCCACCTAGGAGATTAAGTGTGTGTGCCACTCACGACTCGATTTAGATCGTTCTCATATATCCCACAATTCAAGCATTAGCGATATATATATATATATATATATATATATATATCTGTGTGTGTGTGTGTGTGTGTATGTA